AGATACACCATATTCTTCTACATAATTATTAGCATACTACATGAATTAGAATGTGGTAATTCCTTTTCAACCACTTCAAACATATAATGTATCTGATTTTTTAAAGCTTTTTTGGGGAGCAATCATCAACTCTGAAGACTTAGTAACCAAATGTTGAAGGATAAATCTTATGTGTAATAAAGTTATCTAAATATTAACTTTGACTGGCCTTATATATCTCCTAGCCTTCATTTATGTACAGAAGGCATCTGTAGTCAAATATAAAAAAGCATTACTTCATTTTTCCAGCGTTGAGTGGTGAACCGAAGGACTTACACATGCTAGGACAGAACTCTACTGCTGAGTTACAGTCTCAGCCTCCAAAGCAATAATTTACAACTAAATCCCTTCAAGTGGAAAAAAAAAAAAAACAGAGGAACAACAGAGCATACAGAAAAAGTTCTACAGAAAAAGTTCAGTCTTCACCATACCTTCCCATCATGAAAAGCCTAAAAACAGAAACAAAGTGAATCATCTATAAAAGGAAAATATTTTGAGAAGAGATGAGAGGAACTCCTTCAGGATTCCCATAGAAGAGGCTGCAGAAAATGCTGATTTAGGATAATAAAGTGCTTCAAGAAACATTACTAACCCAAAGTCTCTGAGCTGTTCCCAACCATCCAGTAACCCCAGGCCTGTGGGAAAATATTCACCAATTAATTATCAGGCTGAGGGCTGAAGAGATGGCTCAGCGGTTAATAGCACTGGCTGCGGGGCTGGAGAGATGGCTCAGTGGTTAAGGGCACTAGCTACTCTTGCAGAGGACCCAAGTTCGTTTCCCAGTACCCACATGGTGGCTAACAACTGTCTGTAACTCCAGTTTCAGAGGATCCAACTCCCTCTTCTGACCTCTGCAGGCATTGCATAACACAGGTACATTTACATATATGCAAGCATAACACTCATACACATAAATATAATAATAAATAAAAATATTTTTTTTAAAAAAAAGAGCACTGGCTGTCCTTCCAGAGGACCCGGGTTCCATACCTAGCACCCTCACGGTAGCTAACAGCCATCCATAACACCACTTCCAGAGGACTCCAATGCCCTCTTCTGACCTCCATGGGCACTGCACAACATGGGTGTACTTACATGCAGGTATTATATTCATATACATAAAATATTTTTTAAAAAACAGTATCAGACTAAAAGTACTCAGCAGCAGTATATATAGAGACAGACATATGATAATTCTGCATGTGGGTAAGGTGGCCGGCCATAGGTACATCAAAATCTAAAATGTAAGACAAATTTAGTCTACCTAATAAGAGCTTATCAAAACTGGCAGCTAGTATACGCCTTAAAATCCCCTTATTGATGAGGAGAGCATTCATTTTCAAGACATGACTGTTCTAGGCTTCCCCAAAGATGACAAGAAACTGGACAAAAATGCATGCAATACTCTGCAGATGCCATAAGCACCCTAGAATGGACACAAAGGCAAAAAAAAAAAAATCTTTAAAAATGTATACAATGGTATTTATTTATTTATTTATTTATTTATTTATTTATTTATTATTGTGTGTATGTTATGTCTATGGAGGGGGATGAATGCCATGGCTCATGTGTGGAGCCAGAAGACAAGTTTGCACAGGCTGTTCTCTCCTTCCACCTTTACATGGGTTCCAGGGATTAGTCAGGCTTGTACAGCAAGTGCCTTTATCCACTGAGCCATCCTACTAGCCTAGAAGCTTTTCCTTTTGTTTTGTTTTATTTTATTTTATTTTAAGACAAGGTCTCACTATGTAGCCCTGGCTGGCCTAGAGCTTGACATGTAGAGCAGGCTGGCCTCAGACTCACAGAGATCCACCTGCCACTGAGTCCCAAGGGCTGGGATTTAAGGCTTGTACCATCACACCAAACTAGGAGTTGTTTTTAACCAAAAGACAAATTTGAGGACTGGGATGAGGGTTCAGTGGTTAATAGCACTTGCTGTTCTTGCAGAGGACCCAGGTTCAGTTCCCAGCACCCACGTGGTGACTAATAACCCTCTGTAACTACAGTTCCAGGGGACCCAATGCCCTCTTCTGGCCTCTGTAGCCACTGAATCCATTGGTGCTCTTACATACATGCAGGCAAAATACTCATGCATATAAAATAAAAACAAAATATTATAAAAGACAGATTTGAAAAGAAGGTGTCTCTAAAGCATGTGTCACCTCTATAGGGATTTATCCTGGGTGATTCATTCTCCAGTCAAGTGATGAACACTTCACAGTATGATTTCCACAATCCCTTTGAGGATAACCTCAAAAGAGAATTGAATATACTGACCTTCCAAACGTTCTACAAACAAACGCTTCAAGCTTTGGTAAATCCCAATTTTAATCGTGCCATATGAAGCCTGTCTTAGTAAAGCAGGAGCAATTCTGTCAAAAAAGAGAAAAATAAAGAAAAATTAAGTGTACTCAATATGCATTTATAGATTTACATTTCTTTTTAAAAACCTTTATTTATTATTTTTTCTTTAATGCTTATGAGTGTATTGCTGGCGTGTATGTTAGTGCACCTGTGTCGTGCAATGCCTGCAGAGGTGAGAAAAGGGCATCAGATTCCCTGGAACTGGAGTTAGAACAGTTGTTAGCTGCCATGTCAGTCCTCTACAAGAACAGAATATCCAGTGCTCTTAACCACTGAGCCATCTCTCCAGTCCCCAGATTTATATTTATTTTACCAATCTCTTTTCACCCAATAACAGCACAACATACTTTTTTTTCAATCATCCATGAAAACATGACCAAGAAAGTTCACATCCTGGGCCATAAAACAAATGTCAACAAATTTAAAAGGACTGACATTATGGGGCTGGAGAGATGGCTCAGCAGTTAAGAACACTGGTTGTTCTTGCAGAAGACCTGGGTTCAAATCCCAGCACCCACATGGCAGTTAACAACTATCCGTAACTCCAGCCCCAGGGGATCCGACAGCCTGTTCTGACCTCCACGGGCATTGTACGACACGGATACACTTATCTATATGCAGGCAATACACACATACACATAAAATTAATAAATAAAATTTAAAAAAAAAGAACTAACATTATATAGACTGTATTCTCTGACCATAAAGTAAGCAAACTAGAAATTGATAAGGAAGATGACTAAACACATGGAAATCCAACAACAGAATTCTAAATAACATATTGACTAAAGAAAGCTACAAAAGAATTTTTTAGCTAGACATGATAGCACATGCCTTTAATCCCAGCACACAGAAGGCAAAGGCAGGCAGATCTCTGTCAGATCCAGGCAAGTTCCAGGCCAGCTGGGAGTACAAGAAGACCCTGTCTCAAAAAAAGACCCCCCCCAAAAAAGAATTTTTTAAATGTACACACCTGAATATAATTTAAAATGCATCCTCTTAAAATATATGAGATATGGGGCTGGAGAATGGCTCAGCAGTTAAGAGCACTGGCTGCTCTCACAGAGGACCCAGGTTCGATTCCCAGCACCCACATGGCGGCTACGAACCCTCCTTAACTCCAGTTCCAGGGGAATCCAAAGCCCTCTTCTGAGCTCTGTGGCATTGCACGACACAGGTGCACTCACATACATGCAGGAAATACACTCATACACATAAAAAATAAAAAAATATATATGGGATATGAGCTGGGCATCATGGTGGTGCACGCCTTTAATCCCAGCACTCGGGAGGCAGAAGCAGGTGGGATCCCTGAGAGTTCAAGGCCAGCCTGGTCTACATAGCTAGTTCCAGGCCACCTGGGGCTACATGGAGATCCTGTCTCAAAAAGACCGAAATATATATATTTATGGGATAACAGCCAGGCCAAGTGGTGGGGCCTGTAATCCCACCTACTTGGGGCTAGGACAGGAGGATAAGGAGTTCCGGGCCTATTTGAACTACAGACTAAGTATAAGGCCAGCCTGAACAAATTATTGTGACTCTATCTTAATATAAAAAGCAAAAAAGAAAACTAGTGATACAGACTAGTGTACGTGCTTGCATAGCGTGTATTCCTAGGTTGACTTACCAGTATTGGAAAAACACACACACGCACATACACACGCATGCATGCACACAGACAGTACGGAAAGACAAACAGATAGACACAGATGGTGACAGGAAGAGACAGACTTCAGCCAAAGCAGTGCTGAGAGAAATTTATAATACAAATGCTTACATTAGAAGAATAAACTCATCAGAAGCCAATATCCAGAACCATGAGAAACAAATTCCTGTTGCTTATAAGCCATCATGTCTATGGTACTTGGTTACAGAAGCCCAAACTAAAACAGCATTAATGTTTTTTTTAAAAAAATTGAATTCATAGCTTTAAAGTTAAAAAAAAAAAAACTCCAGGCCCAGAGAATTTTACTGAGGAGTTCCACCAAACAAATAAAGAATTAACAGTAATCTTGCATGATGTCTCCAGAAAAGAAAAATGTTTCCCAAATAATTTTAGATAGTATCACCTTGACAGCAAAACCAGACAGAAATAGTACAAATAAAAACTACAGTCCAGTATCTCTCATGAACTTAGGAACAAAAATTCTTTGGGGGGCTGGAGAGATGGCTCAGTGGTTAAGAACACTGACTGTTCTTGCAGAAGACCTGGGTTCAAATCCCAGCACCCACATTGCAGCTAACAACTGTCTGTAACTCCAGTTCCAGGGGATCTGACAGGCTCTTCAGTCCTCCGTGGCCATATCACGACACAGGTACACTTACCTACATGCAGGCAATACATGCATACACATAAAAACAATAAATAAAATTTTTTAAAAATTAAAAAAAGAAATAACTTAAAAAAATTCTTTGGAAAGGATAAGCAAACTGAATCTAACAGTGCACAAAAAGAATTACCCACTATTACCTACACCACATAGATTAAAAAAAAAATCAACCTTTACTTCCTAACAGCTGTGGATATATCTTTAATCCTATGAACAAGGAGGCACTAGTGCCAAGACCTCACTTATGCCTCCTTTGAGATTCCTCCAAATTGCAGAACTCTACTTTAGGAGGTATAAATAGATAGCAAGCAACAGCTCAAATGGTTAGGATTGAAAAACAATGACTATATATGCATATTTCTGACTCTATTGCTTGCATCAGGAAAAGAAAATCTTGTGGTTGTCTATGCTAATGAAAGAACATGGTAAAACAGATGATTCATGAATCATGTCAGGATGAGAATTTTTTGTTCACCAAGAAAATTATTACTTAAATAAGTCCAACAGAGATTACTGATAAAACTGATTTCCTTTCTCTCAGCAATAAACCGGTAGCCTACATTTAGGATAGCCTTGGGAAGCAGTATCAGATAAACTACTAACTGGACAATAAATTATAAATTGATGGCTAACCAAAGGTGACCAATAAAGATGGTTCTCCTTTTCCCTTATTCTTCATTACTATTTAAAATGCCAGAACAGGGGCTGGAGAGATGGTTCAGCACTTATGAGCACTCACTGCCTGCTCTTCCAGGGGACCCGGGTTCAGTTCCCAGCACCTACACAATGGCTAACAACCGTCTGTAACTGCAGTTCCAAAGGATCTGACACCCCACTTCTAGCCTCTGCAAGTTTTGCATGACATGGGTGCACTTACATGCAGGCAAAACACTCATACACATAAAATAAAAATAAATAAAAAATAAAATGCCAGAATAATGTTCTTTTCAAAAAGAAAATCTTAAAGGAAGTCAGTGTTTGTCAATTCAGGAAAATTCACACAACAATGTACACAGTTAATCAGTGCTGCTATTAACAACAGGCCATCAGTGAGTCTTAGGAAGCCAGAAAAAAAGCCTATGCTGCAATGTTATTATCCATTTTATCATTTAACATGTACAGTTAGATGAACACAAAATCTAAAGCTCAAGGCTGATAAATAGGTGAAATTGACACTGGACTAACAATGAAGAATTACAAGTCAAAGCAGTGAATATGAAGGGCAAAGTATCAAACAAATGAAATTCAAAGCCTTTTTGAAAAAGCATTTCTGGTGGGACATGGCAGTGCACGCCTTTAATCCCAGCACTCAGGAGGCAGAGGCAGGTGGATCTCTGTGAGTTCAAGGTCAGCCCAGTCTACACAGAGGCCAGCTGGGGCTACAGGGAGACCCTGTCTCAAAAAAACCAAAAAAAAAAAAAAAGGCATTTCTGTTCATGATATAAGGAAAGAATCCAGTCTTACCCTGAATACAGAGCCAAGATACCTTCTTCTTTATAGATTCGAAACAAGGCATGAAACATTCCTCTGTATTTTATTTCTTTGAAACGAACATCGATGCTCTGACCTTGGACTTGAAGCCGTGTTTTAGTAAGATCCACAGGGAAAGTGCCTATGAATGAACACACTTAAGTATTTACAACGAAGTACAGTAAGTTTGGGCTCAATGTAAAGCAATGATAATACCTGAAATATAAGATAAGTCCCTTTTATAACACACAGGTCTCTACTAGAACACCACTGCCAGAGGACAAGGCCATATGTGGTGAAGTGAAATGCACTAGCCTATCTAAATAGTACACTTGCCCCACAGTATACATGACACTGTGACACAGAAAATGCTTTAAGATGATCAATAATATGCTATAAATGCAAAGTTATTTAAATGTTTGCACTTCATCTGTAACATACCATTGCCAAAAGGGCATTACTGGTCTCTTCCTCCCATCCCCACCTACCTCAAGCCTCCCTACCACTCCCTCATAAAATCTCTCCAGATTTTCACAAACACAGGAACACATGGACTTGATGCTTTAGATGTTTTTATGTGCTGTTAGAAAAGTGGTGGTGGTGAGGGTTCCGGAGAGATGGCTCAGCGGTTAAGAGCACTGGCTGTTCTTGCAGAAGACCCAGGATTGATTCCCAGCACCCACATGGAAGCTAACAACCATCTGTAACTCCAATTCCACGGGAATCTGATGCCCTCTTCTGACCTCCCCAGGCATTGCATGACATGGGTACAAATACATACATGAAGGCAATACACTCATACACATAAAATAAAAATAATACTTTTTAAAACTCTGTGTGTGTGTGTGTGTGTGTTTATGACTCCCTAACATGAGAGAGACTGGCAAACAGGAGTTTGGTTCAATTCATCATAGTTCCTTAGATAATTCAGGACTAATACCAGCAGAGTACTTGGGGGGGATTTTTTTAAGTACATTTTATTTATTTTGTGGGCAAGTGTATCTATGTATGTGGGCACACATGCCACGGTGCATGTGTGGAAGTCAGAGAACAACTTGAGGGAGTTGGTTCTGTCCTTCCATCGTGTGAGTCCTAGGGATCAAACTCGGGTCATCAAGCATGGCAGTGAGCACCTTTCTCATTCAGCTATTGCACTGACCATCTCTTTAATGAAACTCAGCACACAGAAGTAGTTGTTGCATGGACAAAATGTGTTTTAGGAAGTATTTCAAGCCAGGTATGGTGGCGCATGCCTTTAGTCCCAGCACTCAGGAGGCAGAAACAAGCAGATTTCTGTGATATGAATGTCAGCCTGGTCTATAGAGCGAGTTCCAGGTCAGCAGGGCAATTCTGTCTCAAAAAAAAAGAAAAGGAAAAAAAAAGAAAAAGAAAAAAGAAAGAAAAAAGAAAATAAATATTTCAAGATCTAAAACTATCAAGATGGAATTTTGTGACTTGGATAAAACCAGAGTATATACCAAGAAAGTCAACAAATATTGGTGGGTTGTAGATATTTATGAATAGTTTAGGAAGAGAAAAATCTAGAAAATGAAAAAGCACAATCTAAAAATATTTTAATACTAAAATAAAAATAGAGAAGACTCTTGATTGATCTTCTTTTCTTCTGAAAAAGAAAAGATGTTTGCAAAAAAGAAACCGATAAGAAGAAAATTATAGACCACTTAACATAAATCAAAGAGCATTAGTATAGGACTACAAAAGAACCCTTTCTGTTCAATTGCTCTACTGTCAAGCATATTAGGCTGGCAAATTAACAAATCACTAAACTAACAAAAAAGCTTCCAAAGTTTGACTTTTCTTAACCTCATTTGCCAAATCCTTAGCAGTACTTTTTCTGGACTATTACTTGATAGCTATAAAACAATTTTTAAAACAAAGTGGGCAACCCTCTTTTTACTTTTCTCTGGTTTTCACCAAAAATAACTTATACCATACATAGCCATCTATGGCATAAAACTCAGATTTGTCATTTTTTCAAATCCTTACCAAACTCGGCAACAATAGAGGCAAGGCCGCCATACACAAAAGGTTTCCAATTCAGACCAGACATCTCATGGCTTAAAGTGGAACTTTCCTGGTGCTAAAAATAAACACAAATCAGAACAAGGCACAAGAGTGAACAGAGCATTTGTTAGCATTTGATTATTGATTGAGATCAACAAAACCAGAAAACAAAACAAATGTAGAGAAAAAAAAAATCCAGCAAGTGGAATGACACAAAATGGAGAGCCCTGTTTCATGTGCTGGATGACCATGAATTTGTTCTTTAATGCCACTCTGTGGGGTAGCTGTATAATTCACTCAAATATCAACTTGTTCCCTTCATCCTCCCTAGTTTGTTTAATGTTACACTCTTCCCCATGCAAAGAAGAAGCTTTAGTCCATCCAGCACACCCATCTTTGACATTTAACTAGACAATCACGAGTAGAGGAAACTAGAATTCAAGTTACATAGGCTGAGGCATCTCATAAAAGCAGTTCATGGCATTCAGTTAGCTTGATTCAGGCTCAAAGCACAAGCTCACACGACACCTTAACTCAGCCCTCTCAGCTCTCCACTAACATTTAGCGCTGAGTTCTAGAAACTACTGCTAGCTATATGTAACACCAGCTACTCAGTTGAGATCCAGGCTGAACTAAGCAACAATTTACCTTGCTTCTGGCTCCAGGAGAAATGACAGCAAAGTGGATATATCACACTTCTGACATTGAACATCATCCATCCAGTGGATCTCCTTTCCCTCTCCCCTGGACCTTTAAAATCATATCGAAGTACTGTTCTTTTTACATTCTAGCTCTTTGGTCCAGCCCTTTGTACTCCTTCCCCATTGTACCCCTCTTAGATCTGTTATCTTCCATCTTCAGCTTTATTCCTTTTCTGTCACTCTCAGCTCCTTCTCTCTTGGATTTGTTTTTCAACAACTTTGGCCTCTAGACAAATATTTTTCAAATTTTAGCATGTACCAGAATGCCCTAAAAGGTCTACTAAAACATGGACTGCTTGCTGAGCCTCTCCCCCACTGAATCTGAGTCTTATCCAGAGAAATTGCAAAACAAAGAAAGCTGTAGGCATCACCTGCTATCCTAGCCCAAATGGAAATACTACTTTTTAAATAGAATCTCAGATGACCTTTAAATATGTCTTTCTTTTTCAGAGCTTCAAAGTATATATCCTTCCAAATTTCAAAGACTACTTACTTAAAGTGGTTTATGGTCAAAAAGGAGCACTCTGAAACCAGATGCTCTAAAATCAAATCCTGGCTCCAGATTCAAATCTTGACTCTACCACTTACTAGTTCTGACTCTGAGAAACTTATTCCACCTGTCTCCATTTTCTGAAAATGGTAGTAATAAAAACTATCATAGGTTGGTAGAAAAATTAAATAATATACCTCTAACACCTAGAAAAATGCCTGACAAAATTTTGCACAGTAACTTAGCTAATTATCATATTATACTAAGAATATTTAAATACCCAAATTTGCATTTTAACAGATAATCTTTGCTGTCCATCTCCCCATTGCCAATCTGGGTTAGCACCTTTGAGTCATAGTCTGCTTTTAGAGAAAATGGGATTTTTATTTATTTCTATGTAAGAAATTCTCTGCAACAAAGCAAAGAGCAATTTTCCTCAGACAACAGCAAGCACGCAGATAAACATCTTGGTCACAGGCTACAAAACTAATTGTGGGAGCTTCCTTTTAAGTACATCACACATAGAGTAGATGCTAGATACCCCAGTTGGAGGAAAGTTATTGCAATCACTAAAGAGCAAAGGAGGAATTGACAGGAAATCTAGGATTCCAGCATACCTCCTGAGCTAACAAGAAAGAAAAATTCAACTCAGATGTGGTGACACATACCTGTCATCCCAGCACTTGGGAGATGAAGTCAGGAGGATAAGTAGTTCAAAGTCACCCTTTACTATATAGCATGTTTGAGGCCAGGTTGGGTTACATGAGACTGTGTCTCAAAAAAAAAATCACTGTCTACTGTCACATTTACAGATTCCCTCAAATAGCCTTCAATATTTCAGGTATGTGCCATATTTCTCTCCAAAACTTTTCTTTTACAACTTCATTCATCCCTTTTCATTAATGGAGAAAATCTTTAGCACAAAAAAAAAATCTTTAGTACCTGCTACCCAAAATTTTAATAAGGAAGATGTGACCAGGGTTCAGGGAGCAATAGCTAGGGTTCAGAGAGCAATGAATCACTGAAAGGTAGGGGACAGAGCCATAGCAACAAGCAGAAAGATCAGCCAATGGAATCTCAGGTCAATTAGCCCAGGGGTTTCCCACTGAAGTTTTCACAATTCTGACGTGATATAAAAAAAAAATCTAGGACTGCTAAACTGAATGTATTTAATTTAAAGGATTACTTATTAGATCGTATCCTTTTTGTTCCTGGAACAATGGAAAAATCACCTTTTTTGTATGAAATGTTAATGGTAGTGGGTAGTTGATAATTTATTGACGTTATTTGTATCCCCTCCAGCACACCTCCATTTAAATCTCACTGGCCCATAAAATGCAAGGCTGGATAACACTGGCAAATCCAACACTGCCCCTACTACCCCTTCCCAGTCACATTTGATACTAATATCTATCACTCCACTGTTAGAGATCAATATCATGGAGATAACCTGTATCATTTTTTATTAGGCCTGATTTTATACCATCCTTCCTCGCACTAAACCAACTTGGAGACAATATTGAACAAATTATTCTTTCGCCCCCCACAAGGGGGACTTCAAATATTTAAAGTCAGCTAGCATGTTCTCCTACATCTTATCTTTGTCAGTCTAAATATTCCTGACCATTGTCTTCATTCTGTACGTTTGACTTCGATTACTGTAGCTAAAAACTTCAGTTTCTTTTGAGGAAGGCATATCACACCACTCAATCACTAAAGTGCCAGCAAACACCACTCAGTCTTCACTTATCTGCATACTGGCACGTGAGTTAGGTTACAACTATTCTACAACTATGCAATATTTTTCAACCTTCATTTGTTTCTTCTACATCTTAAATTCAGGCATAAAAATGATGAGTTGGGTGAGGTTTGGTCTCTAGTTGTCCATCTCTTTTCCTCTTAAAAAGTAAGATTGCCTGCAGGAAGACACTAGATTTTGCAAGATGTTTTACACGCCTTATAGCAACTAGTACAGAACTGATTACAAACACATTAAACAGCTGGTTATCTTATGCATTCAGTCTGTATACAGAGGAAATGAGAGAAGCAATTTGATGGACCCGGACAATACTGTACACCCTACACTACACTCTTCTGATTGCCAGACATTCTCTACCTACGAATCCTCGTCTCTTGCTTTCATTGTAGAAATCACTTTTTAAAATATCCCAGTCATGGGACTGGAGAGATGGTTCGGTGAGTAAGAGCACTGACTGCTCTTACAGAGGACCAGGGTTCAATTCCCAACACCCACATGGTAGCTAACAACTGTGCGAAACTCCAGTTCCAGGGGATCCAATGCCTTCCTCTGACCTTGCGGGCATTGCCCAGCACAGGTGCACTTACACACATGCATGCAATATACTCATACACATAAAATAAAAATAATAAATAAAACATTTTTTTTAAATCCCAATCACTCATAAAATCATTTCAACATGTAGGGGCTAACCACAGATATGAGTAGAGGGACAGAAGTCATCTCTAAGTTGCAATACAAATACAGTACCCTAAATATTTGTATTGAGAAAGAAGCTGACAAAATTTGTCTTCAGAATACAAACATCTATCCTGAAGATCTGATTATGGAAAATTTGATAGCCTAACCAGTAACAAAAAAAGGTTCTAGGATACAAATTATATAGCCCCTACACTTACTTCAAAGTCTGGTCAGGAAATTCTGGGTGCCCTTCTTGGTTTCTCCTTTAAGAAAGAGTAGGTATTAGAGACTCTCAAGTCCCAAGGATACCAATGGGATGCCAACAACTATTTGTTGAAGGCAGGCTAAATACGCAAACCTGCAATGTGGTGTGATTATAATTTGTCATGTTAAAAATCACAGAAATATGTTCTAACACAAAGACAGTATTTGCCATTCCACCTATCTTTTTTAGATAATCATCTGGTGGAAGGAATCAAATACTTTATTAGAGAAAAATTAAGTGCTAAACTGTGTAGAACAATTTACAAGAGTACGGGGAGCATGGGAAAGGAAACAATTAGCATGGCTTTGAATAATTTGGAAAAGCTTTGAGGGGTGAGAGAATTGAAATTAGGCCTTGATAAGGCAGATTGTATTGGATGGGATCAGGTAAGAAAGACACAGGGGAAGAGCCAAGGTGCATAAATTCAGATGTGGAAACAAACACACCGTGTGAAGGTAGGCATCAGTATGGTTTGTGCTGAGACCGAAATGAAGGACCCAACCCCATTACACAGTTCACTTGTTGGCTGAAACAAGTAAAAGGAATAGGGTATACTCAAAGGCTTGACACCAAGGTGTTGGAGGCACTCAGCACTCAGTCCTTTAATAGGCAAGTGAATTGAGGTAATACAGTGTATTTTAGTTAGAATACTATGGCTACAACAAGCACACTGGGTCACAAACCAGAGGCAAGGCACTGGCTTAGGATGGTATGAAGTAGGCTTGTGGGCAGTGAGGTTGAACTATTGAAATGGAGACAAAAGACACTTCATGACGTAAATGAAGAGGAGACAGTTCATGACTACTCTAAGCATCTCTGGGGACAGGAGGGCAAGAAAGCACTGGCAGAAAACTGTAAATGTCCCTGAAGCTACCTTGTCCGAGAAACCAATCGTGTTGATAACAGATGTCATCCCAATCAAGTAACTGAACTGCATTTTTATAGATGCCTTCAATGCCTCGACCTCAGGAGTGACAGGGGAGATAGAGCGTGGGGGAGCATCTTTCAACAGATCCCTCACACTGATACAATCAATGGAGGTGTTTGCTTACTCCGCTTACAATCACAGCCGCCGTTGCAAACTTCACCCTTAGAAAAATTAGGATTATTCCGGGAAAGATACCCATTCACCCTCTGGATAGCCGGATCTTGCCAATTCCTCAGCTGTCAGAGCGAGTTCGCAGAGAGAAGGGAGGCGCCTGAAGGAGGCGGCCTCCCAGGGGGGTCGAGGAAGCAGGGCTCAATCGAAGAAGTAAAGCCACCGAAGCCAGGAGAGTGAGAGACAGGGAAGGGACTGAGCTGAGGGAAGAGAGAGATCAAAGGACCGTTAAGCCCCTCCTAGGCCGGGAACCGGGCCAGCCCGGCCCCGCGCGGCCTGGCGCGGCCCAGCCCAGCCCCGCTCCCCAGCCTGGAAGTCCAGGAGCTCCCCCTCACCTGCTCCGGCTCATCAGACGACTGGGAAGCAGAGGCTCCCACAGTCGGAAACGCCACTGCAACGCCAACCCGGAAGCATTGAAATCAACGGAAGTAACCAAGACATCACCTTGGCAACAATGGCGTAGCCATTCCAACTCCACCCCCTGAGAGCCTGAAAAGGAAGAGCGGGAATGAGAGGAAACCGGTGGGGTCTAAAGACCAGAGTCTGGAAGACTGCAGGTGCCGGGGTCCAAAACCTGCCACCTGCCTCTCGGAGGCATAAGAGAGGAAGCAAGGAGGGGGAATTTTCAGCTTCTACAGCTAATGTGCTCAACAGAGAGGGCAGAAGTGGTGCCTTCTCATCCATCCACCCGGAGGGGGCTGGCTGAGATAAAACGTGTGCAAGACCCGAGGCGGGAAGGGGGTAAGGGACGGAAGGGGGAGGGCAGTGAGGGACTGGGTGCAACGCGCGCGAGACCCTGAGCGAGCACTGAAGGTGAAGGACGGGGTGCAAGGGGCGGGGCGTCCTTGCAGAGGTAGAAAACCCAGCGCCAGTGAAGGAAGTGGGGCAAAGGAACTAAGTCAGTAGTAGGATAAATGAGGACCAGGAGGTGTCCGGAAATTAGTGACGGAACCTGGGCTCAGAAAGAAAATAAAGATCATAAAGATCGGGGAAGCAAACAGATCTAACCTACAGAATGTCAGACATTAGACACTGAAAAAGTATACACAATCCCTGCATTCGAAGTTCAGAAAAACTTCAGAACAAGATGGAAACACAAGGGGTGGGAGACATAAAAAGTTAAAGCAAAAAATAATCTGAAGAGGAGAAATCCTAGTGGAGGAGAACCAGTGAATCCGCAGCTGACAACCTGCCAGAAAAGGAGATCCTAGACTCTGGCTTTGGGCCCTAGTCCCCAGGGCCCACAGAAGAGCTTCCTGGGTGAACCCATTAGCTAATAGGCCACGCCCGATTTTTAAGCCTGTTGCGAAGTTGCCCTAATCACCCAAGAGTTGATAATAACAGGGTTTATTGTTTATAGTGCAAGGCACTTGTTCCTGAAAGAGTATTCATTGAATGCAAAGAATGTTTGAAATTCATTTATTCCAAAAGAACCTTTCTCATTCACATCTGTTTTTACTTTTTTCATTTTTAATATTTCTTCAGGCAGCACACAGGAAAATAATAGACGACATTATAAGGTGCTTCACCATGCTCCAAGTGTAATGCCAAGAGATTTTGTGCTCTCAGCTACTCCATAATATTGATACCATTATTTTCCTCTGTTGACAAATAAGAAAAATGGGGTCCTAAAGATCAAGTATAATAATGTGATAACTGGCAGAACTGAAATTTCAACTTGGGTCTAACTTCTAGGCCCAAGCTCTCAACTTTAATAATGTCTTCAAATTTTTCATTACTTTTATTTTATGTGCATGACTGTTTGCCTGCATATATATTCCCATCATCTATATCACATGTTGGAGAAACAATTTTGAATAAAAATATGAGCGGGTCCTGACTAGGGGACAGAGTTCTAGAAACAGAGTTCCAGCAGACAGTTCCATCAGCACAGTTCCAGGAGACTGGAAGGTTCCAAGAGATATCTGGGGTAACAAGTGTCCTCCGAGTTCAGGCCCTCTGTTAAAACCTAAATTTAAGAGTTAAGCTTTTTTGTTCAGGTACTTAAAACGTTGGCAAAGTAATGCAACACTGAGCCATCTCTACAGCCACTGAATTCTGTTTCTATGGATTTATTTAGTCTAAATTTTTTATAAATTTGATTATAAAATATGTAATCTTTTGTGCCTGGCTTCTTTCATTTATCAGAGTTTTGAGATAGAGTCACCCTGTAGCCCCAGCTGGCCTGGCATTCACTATGTAGACCCTGCTGGACTCAAACTCACAGAGATCTACCTGCCTCTGCCTCCCAAATGTACTTTTTAAAAAATTGCCGGGGCTGGAGAGATGGCTCAGCAATTAAGAGCACTGACTGCTCTTGCAGAAGACCCGAATTCGATTCCCAGCACCCACATGGTGGCTACGAACCGTCCTTAACTTCAGTACCAGGGGAATCTGAAGCCCTCTTCCGACCTCCACAGCATTGCACGACACGGGTGCACTCATACATGCAGGCAATACACTCATACACATAAAAAATAAAATATGAAAAAGATATTTTTAAAAATTGCCTTTTGTTTTTTGTGTTTTTTGTTTTGTTTTTCGAGACAGGATTTCCTTGTAGCCCCAGCTGACCTGGAACTCACTATATCGACCAGGCGGGCCTTAATCTCACCTGCCTCTGACTCCTGAGTGCTAGGATGAAAGGCATGCCCAACACTTCTTTAAAATTTTTATTGTATGTAGTCATTGTACATGATACCATGTTATACAGGAACACTCACACACATATACATTGTATGCTGGGCACATTCCCTACCACATCTCCCAACTTCTTTCTCCCCCTACCTCCCACAGATCCTGTTTGTCCCTTTTGTTACCCTAGACAATTTTTCTTTCTGCAAAATGTGGTATATATACACAATGGAAAGCTTTCAACATAATGTTTTTAGAGGTTCATCCAAGTTGTAACAATTATCAGTACTCCATTTCCTCTTATGACTAAATCACATTCCATTGTATTTACACAGCATAATTTCTTCAGTCATTCAGATTATTGATGAACATCTAGATATTTCCCACTTTGGAAATTATGAATAGCGCTACCATAAGCATGCATATACAACAATTTGATTGAGTACCATGTTCAATTCTTTTGGGTGTATACATAGGAGTTGAAGAGCCAGAAAACTTATGAAGATAAACTCCATCACTTTCTTCCTATTTAACTTTGGATAAATTATTTAATTTTTCTGAGCTTCAATTTCCTTATCCGAAGATGATATATTCTAATGTTCCTAGCACAGAGTTAAAGTACTTATCATATGCTTATCATATCATTGGCCTTCCTTTCCTCTTCCTCCCCTAAATAACTCTCCCTTATGTCTTGTTTCCCAATAGTGTTTTTCTCCACAGACTTGACATCTCCTTAACCAGGCTTCACAGGGCATAATTTTCCAGACCAATGCCATCTTAATTACCCTGCTCCCAGAAGATGTCAAGAGAGAAAAAATTTTTCCTCTACCCTCTTAAGGATTATACTTGGTGGCTGTACAAAAACAGATACACAGGAAAAGTGAAACACAATTTTCATTAATATTTAAGAGTTCACAAAACTATAGTTCACAGAAAGCAAGTAAGTGGATAGACTCAGGGACTTATATGTCCCTTGAACAAAAGAAAAAGGGTTGTAGTTTCAAGGGATTATAAATGATGGGGAAGTGACTAGGAAATATATCAGAGAACTAATGGAAAACAAGGGCTATTTGGGTAAGGAGCATTTATACAATTTATCTTAGTGTCAACTCCTTTTCTTAGATGATGAGTCACTGTGTGATTTAATATGAAGTGTCCCCCCACCAAAAATAAAGGTTTTTAATGTTGAAGGCATGGTCCGCAAATAGTGCTGCTAAGAGAAATGATTGAACCATGACGGTGCTAATTACATCAATGGGCTATTAGGGAGTGGGGCCTAGTTGGAGGAAGTAGGGTGGCAGAGGAAAGGCATGCCTTTCGAGGATATCCTGTTGATATCCCTTTCAGTTGTTTCTCTTCTTTTCCTGGCCACTATGAGGTGACTATCTTTCTCCCACTATACCCTTCCACAATGCCCTTCTGCCATGATGTTCTTGTCTTGCCACAAACCCAAAAACAAGAGTCAAATAACCATGGATTGAAACCTCTAAAACAATGAACCAAAATAAATCCTTCCTCCTTCAAACTGTTTCTTAGATATTTGTTGCACTAATGAAAGACTGATACACTTGCTCTTTTCTATCTAGTATGGAGGTGAAGACCTCCTCAAAACAAAATTTAGGCTCTACTTTTAGACATAACAAATGGATGTAATCATTTTTTTTAATTCTCAATTACATTTAACTCAAAATAGCCATTATTCTGAAGGAGAGTGTCCCTCAGACCCCCTCCCTATCCTCTGAGAAAAAGTTGCCCTCCACCTGACTCTGGAAATCCCCTCCATTGTTCAAACCCTTTCCTGGTACATCTGTTTATGGTTTCTATGGGAATGGTCTGGGTCAAAAGAGGAAAAACTGTTTTGCCCAGATCTCGCGACCCCCAATGACCTCCAAAGAGTCCAGAGGGTATGCAACATCAAAGAGGCTTTATTCGGGCTTAAGTTCAGGCCCTCAGATTTCACTGACATAGGGGATCCATACTGAGAGCCCCAAACCAGGGTGGGGCAAGCTTTTTATAGGGAGTTTTGTTGAAGCCCTTGCACACCAGATGTACTTTAAAATGATTGGATGGTTCTATGTTCTGAGTACGGGGAGGATTCTTATTAGTAGGGGCTGTCTTTAGGGCATTGGAATATGCTGTTATCTGTAGGGCCAGAGGTTTCTATTTCTACCTTATAAGGCTTTTACATGCCCGGGCTTGCTTGAAACAGCTAGCCAAAATGGAGTCAGTGTATTCTGACTCTTGCATTTTGACTCTTCATTCCTCCCTAGAGTTATGGCAGGGGTTAAATCTTTAACCCAAGCAAATTACAGAAGCAGAAAGAAGCAGTTAGACGACTCAGAGTCCCACAAAAACGTTCTGCCACAGGTAAGCTAGCCAATGGCTGTACAGGTTAAGTCTCTGGAAATCAGCCCTAGATTGTTCAAATACTTTCCTGGTTCTTCTGTGTATGGTTTCTATAGAAATCCCCTGCTTTGTGGTTTTTGTGGTTTTTATGCTTAAAAGCTCTGTGTTTTCACTGCTCAGGGTCACAGTACAGCTCCCAAGACTGTCTGTGTCCCCAACCGGTTGGCTCCAATAAAGCGCTCCTTTTTACTGAGACTCAGTGTTGGAGTGGTCAATTTAGGGAATTTTACAGACCCTGAACAATTCCAAAGTGATATATTTTGGAGTGGCATATTCTGCTCTCCTTCAAAGACAAATTAAAATGCATTCATGGGGCTGGAGAGATGACTCAGTGGTTAAGAACACTGGCTGCTCTTGCAGAGGACATGGGTTTGTTACCCACCACGCACATGGCAACTTACAACAATCCTTAACTCCAGGGCCAAGGGGATCTGGCGCCCTCTTCTGGTCTCTGTGGGTATTGCATGGCATGAGTTCACACAGACATGAAGGCAAAACATACAC